GGTTTATAAAAGTAACTGTTATTACATTTGAAGTCTATTTGAGCCTTTCAACCCAAAAACAGCAGCTTGGAAGCATCCATCTTTAATGAACAAACTTTAAGAACCGTTGGTGTTTGTTGGAGCGAACATGGACCTGGTCAGAACTTCATGAGCACGTTTTGGTTTCAGTTCTGTTCAGGATTCGACTTTTGATCGTCCTCAGCAGGTTTTGGACTGAATTCACTTCAAGTAAACTGAAGAACACGAGAAACTGAAGGTCTCAAGATAGAAACCAGAGTGGGATGAATGAGGCCAGATGTTCATGAGCTGCTGGTTTGAGCTTCAGATGTGACCTCGTTAGATGAAGGTCTGGATCTCACCGACTGTTAGACGCCAAAACGAATAAACAAAACAACAGCTGGTCGAGGCCGAGACGCTTCCTGGATGTAGTTTCCCGATGTCAAATATTCCAGACGGTTAATTCGTGTGTTTAAAGTTGAATTTTGAATCTTCAGAACGAGTGGAATGAACGAATGTTCCACCATCAGTAGAAAGATGTTCCACCATCAGTAGAAAGATGTTCCACCATCAGTAGAAAGATGTTCCACCATCAGATGAATGTATCTCCAACAAGTCTGTCACGGAGAATCCAGAAAGAATGTTTGATGAGTTTACTTTTCCAGAATCATTCTTTATTTTTGCTCATGTAAACAATCTGCTGTAGGAACGTTTATGTTCTTGCTGGTTCAAAGTCTCGGTTGCTGTTAATGTTTAACGTCGGCGTCGACCAGAGCAGCAGCTCAGACTCTGGAGTCACTTACACTGTAAAACACACCAGGTCTGAATTGTTTCCTTCAGTAGAATTTACTGTTATGTTACAGATTTTACAGCTCTGTTAAATTACACAAACTCAACTCGTAAAATCACCACAAAGCAGAAAAAAAAGTAAATAACATCCACATGACAAAGCTGCATTTAAAAAGTCGTGATTTTTAAAAAAATTGTGTTTAAATCAGAAAAAAAACAACATTTCTAATTCCATATTTACATTTGACCATAAAATTACTTTTTTTTTTTTTTTTAACATAGTTTAGTTATTTGCCTTTTTTTGGAAAGAGAAATTCTAGATATTAAGAATTGAAAAATGGTAAACTGTTTTCCCCACAGACTTGTGAAATTACAGAAAATATTTTATTTAAACCGCAGAATAGAATTAAACATTTGCCTGTTGATTGTAAAAAAAGAAAAGACAGAAGCTAAAACCGCAAACATTGTGCGCAAATATTTGTGCATTTTACAGATAATTATTTTACAATGTGTAAAATCACAGTTTCGCTGTATTGAAATGAGATTTACAAAAAAAAACCAAAAAAAAACATTATGTCACAGTTTTTACAGGTTTTGAATGTTACAGTACTCCATCGTTTTTTAAATATGTTTTCTGGAACCTTTGAAGCCAGATTTTCTTGTTTTTCTAGTTTATTTGTTTGTTTGTTGTTGTTGTTTTGATTGTGTAGCAGAAACAGAAAGCTGTTTCCTGATTCCACTACTTGTCAGGAAGCTACACATGATAACAAGTGAAATAACTGTGACAGGTTCTCTGTACATGTTCTAATATAGCATCAGATCATTAGAGGACCCAGCATGGAGCCCTGAGGGACTCCGTACATTCATCAGATTGGGGGTTTTGGGGAAAGTTTAAGGTTGAACACTTCAAATCCTCTCTTATTTTTCTATTTCTGCTCTTTTCCACAGGCGGAGTCCGAGTGTCGTCAGTGCGAACTTCTCAAAGAGGAAAACGCAGAAACATTTCTTAGGAATCTCACAAACACATTGCAGAACATGAACGCTCAGTTCTGCCCGCCGACCAGAGTTTCCACAAAGGGCTTTTAACAGACTCTTATTGAGCTTCAATGAACTTTAAAGACCAGCTGAGCGCAGATAAAGTGCAACATGCAGGACGTCCGAGCGTCTCGGTGCCGTTTGATTCCCGTCCGGAGCAGCGCTGGGCCCACAGAGCGTTTGGACTCTGGTGGAGGTTCGTGTGCAGTTTGTAGCGTCGTTGTTGGATTTGGAGGTTTTCACACGAACAAATGAACGTCTGTTACATAAGTTCTGCTTCTGTTGGTTTTCGTTTTGCTGTTTTATTTAATGAGAAAAGATGAAAGCACACATTCTGCACTTTATGCCTCTAACGTGTTTAATTCTGAGCTTTATTAGACTTTACTCAGATCCAGATAAAGGACCATAAAGAGACAAACATTTTGACGGTTTTTGAGGTGGTACCGTTGGCTAAAATGGACCTGAATACACAGGAGTAGCACCAGAGGGACTGGGTTCTTCCTTCTGAATGTTTGCTGAAGATCTGTTTGGTGGTTCGTTTGCTATCAGACCACGAACCAAACACCTCGGAGCCCGAAACAAACCAGAAAACATCCTGAAACAATAAAAATGGCTGCACATTTAGTTCAGTTAAATCAAGAGGAAAGGTGGCAGCGAACTCATTCAAGACTGACTGATGAAGGTGGTGGAGACCAAAGGTGGAGCTAAAAGTGATTAGCTGACAACGAAGCGAAGGTGCACAGTCAGGACTCATAAAAAAGGGAATAAATAAGTATAAACTGAATAAATTAAGGCTGAATTCTGACCTTGGAATGTCTTTTGTTTCCTATTTGTTCAGCCTGCAGGTTCTCGAACACCAAATAAGAGGCCAAACTAAACGTTCCATTTCACTTTGACCTACTTTGGCAGATTTCCAGTGGCCGCCCTGCGATTAAGCTCACTAAATGCTGATGTCTTGTATAACACAGTGCACTTATCTTAGCTAATGAACCGACGTGACCGGTTCTAATTACACTTTATGACAACCTGTGAGAAAGGTTACATTCATACTGTGGATATAGATACGAGGCGGTTTGATCTCTGGACTCTGGACAGATAAACTAATCTGGAGGCAGAAAAGTACCGAAAGTGAAAGTTAATCTCCTGCTTAATAATTAATTTGCAACGACCTTTTAATGTCGCAACCACTTGTAATGAAATTATGTTTAACCAACAAACTGCACTGAGTTAAAGGAATGAGGTGTTTTTAATTAGTAGAAATTCTGAACCCAGGGGGAAAGAAAAATTAACTCATCAAACTGATTTTATTATGTTATCTTAACGTGAATTTAATTGTAAACCAAAAAATTCAACACAATATTAAGTTGATGCGACGTTCTTTTGTCAAACCAGCTGTGAAAGGAAAAATATATGTTAATTTTATATGGTCAAAATGCATTTCCCCCCTTAAATCTACCACAATTTACCCATTATCAGTTGTTGTAATATTTAATGGGATCTATAAGGCAGAAATAATCTGTAAATACATGAATTTAAACCTATTAAGCTTCTATTAGCATTAATGTCTTTAAAAATCTGCTTTAATGCCCAAATGCTCAGTATAAAAGACATAATTACCCAGATGAATGATGTAAATCACATTTTTATTATAATAACACGTTCTACTTAAGCTAGCAAGCTAAGAAACTGCTAGCTAGTTAGCGACAGTTAGCTTGTAAGACAATGTAATAGACATTTAATCAAAGATGTGTCAGCAGTAGGCGGCTTAAAGACATTTATTATATTTTCATTATTTTGAAATAACCACATTTGAGGTATGGAGGCTAACACGACACATATTGCAGACAAAAACAAGCTAATACTGACTTAAACAGCGACCAAGACGATTGACAGCAGTAATTACGATCACAGAAGTCCTTCACACGCATAATTAAACAGTTAGTGTCATCTGTCTGACTTCACAACAGGCACGTATTCCTGCAGTTTGAGTGTAAAACATTCACATCCTTCATAAAATCCAGATCTCTGGTGCTAACAGCTAATTCTGCTCTTTAAGCTAACAGGCAGCTTTTCCTTTTGGAATAAAAATGAACATTTTACACCTAAAACTTCATCATTAGTTTGAGGTACAAACAAAACTCTTTAAACTTACAATATATTATCCTAAACAAGACAACATTAGCAGCTACGTTAAATAAAGTGACTTTAGCAGCAGCATTAGCCTAAATAAAATATCATTAGCTGTTATGTTAGCAGAAATCAGGGAACATGAATTGCTATGTTAGCCTGATGAAATAATATTAGCAGCTATGTTAGTATAATAAAACGCTAGCTGCTACATTAGCATAAACCAGGTAACTTTAATTGTTACGTTGGCTAAATAAATAATGTTAGCTGCTACATTAGCGTAAACCAGGTAACTTTAGTTGCTACATTAGCAGCTATGTTGCTATAAATTAAACATTAGCTACTACATTAGCCTGAACTAAATGACATTAGCAGCGACACTAATGTAACAAAGCATTAGCTGCTATGTTCGCGTAAATCAGGTAACTTTAATTGCTACGCTAGCCTAAATAAAATAATGCTAGCTGCTATGTTAGAGTAAATCAGGTAACTTTAATTGCTACGCTAGCCTAAATAAAATAATGCTAGCTGCTATGTTAGAGTAAATCAGGTAACTTTGATTGCTACATTAGCCTAAATAAAACTACATTAGCAGCTACGTGAGTATAAAACATTAGCTGCTTTGCTAGCAAGAATCAGGTAACTTTAATTGCTACGTTTGCCTAAATAAAATAATGCTAGTTGCTGCAATTTCCAGAAATGTTTAAACAGTTTTTTTTCATGAAGGACACGTTCTGAGTTACTTTTGACACATTTTTAGTCATTAGATTTTTAAATGCATTGTTTTTCTTGTTTTTGCTGTGCACATGTGGAATTTGATGTCAGCAAAGTCTTTGTCTTTTAAACTAAATTAAAATAAAAACGTAGATATCTATAAACCCTCAGATTAACTGCTCTGTCAGACATATACCTCCTACCAATGTTTTCTTTTACATTAAAAAGCCGCAGCATGATGTGTTTCTGTAATTTCCTTCACATTGAACTTCCTGCTGCTATATTTCAACACCAGCTGATAAACAAGTCAACAACAACAACAACAACAACAACATGAGTCCTGCTCTGACCAGCTTCGGTCACCTTTAATTTAACATTCGTAAAATGCAAAACGTTGATTTTAGTAGAGACATAATTATTTGTTGAATGTGTACATTTGGAGCACGGTTTGTTTTTTTAATCTTTATTTTCTTCTTCTGCTGCTCTGCGGCCTTTAATATGGAAATGACGCAGTTGGCTACTTCCGGGTTCTCTAGCGTTCGGCTCCTGCAGCAGTACGGTTCAGTTTCTGGGGCCCAAACAGCCTCTTTCAGCCTCAGGGGCCTCCGCAGAGCTACATCCCGCCCTGCACATTCCTCGTGTTAAACAACTGAAGACACAAACAGAAGATTTTATTAGAAAAGCTCAGAGTTCTGCGAGTTCAATCAAACTGCGTCCTCCCACTACTGCAGCGTATCCGCTTCTGCGCATGCTCAGTGGGCCTCGTGGACCCCGGTAGGTCAGTCGGTGTGGGCATCGATCTGATTATCGGTGATCGATCCCCCTCCATCAGCTCTCCGGCTTGTCCTTGTTGGGGCCCATGAACTCCACCCCGTCCACCGGGATGTCCTTCTCCTTGATGGCCTTCTGCACGCAGCGCTGGTACCGGCGGAACGTCTCGGTGCACGGATCGCCGCTCCGGTCCCCCTTCAGGAACTTCTCGGCGAACCAGCGGTTGAAGCACTGGTCGTACTCCCGCTTCAGGTCGGTGCAAGCCTCCCCGACGCTGTTCATCTCCGGTACGAAGCCGCGGACCGACGGAGGGTCAAAGAGCGGAGGATTTGTTCTGCTGTTTTCAAAACCTTCAGCAGCGTGGACATGCGCACTGCGTGACTTTCCTTGAGCCGCCCGGCGCGATTGGCTGCTTTGAAAGCGACGTTGGACAGCGTCTTGACGTAACGACGTAACAGAGATATTGTGAGTTGAGGAGGAATCACTCTTAGTAATAATCCGGGGCCTGTTTTAGACTTCACTGCTGAAATATTGTGAATCAGACGTGAACATGAAATTGTTCAGCAAATGTGATGTATTTATATTTGTTTTTAAGTTTTAATTCATTTACACCCAGGGCATATCTACTTGCTTGTTTGTTTAAAAAAGATCGCTAATATATCCTGGCATTTTTTTTTTACAACGATAAAAAACAAATCTCTTTAAATGTCTATTAAAAACTTAAAAGTGAGCTTTAAAAAAATCAGTTTTCAGTGGAGCTGCCCTGTGTGGAAGTTGAATTTCCCTTCTGGGATAAATAAAATATTTTTCATTTCATTTCAAATAATTTTTTTTTTAAAAAATCGGTAAAATGCAGGATTTATTTATTTATTTGAAAATTACAGACCAGTTCTACTTAAATAGAGACTTTTAATGCTACTTTTAACTGTTAAGAACATTTGTATTGTTGTATTTATTGTTTATTTATAATATATTTTTTCTCGTATGAATGTATTTTACTTGTTGTTTTCCTTGAAATGTTGTTTGTTAATTAAAAAACTGATTCTACAAAATGAACGACACTCTGTCCTTTATGCTGTAATTTTCTTTTTCCTTATTGTTCATTCTCACACTTTTTTTTTTTTTTAGCTTTTATTTCGTTTTGTTTTGTATGGCCAGTTAGCTTTATGTGTGTTTGTGTTTATTGTGTGTGAGGGTTACAGGTGTCTTAGTATGTTCTCTGAGGTTTTAAATAAATCAAGTACAAAAGCTAAAAATAATCAAAAACTTGACTGGAAATCTTGAAAACATGAAGTGACAGCTGCTTTTTACAGTGTATGTTTTATGTAATGCATTTGGATATCATAATGATGTTCTTTTATGATTGTAATCACAGACGTGTATATTTAGATGTTCATAAGTTGTTTTCCAACATGACTGGAAAATAAATCACTATAAGCCTCCGCAGCTGCTGAAACAGAACGGTGTGAGACCTCTTCCCGTTTTAACCTACCCGCTACCCAAAACCCGCGAGAGTTTCTGCGCAGCTTCCGGAAATCTCGTGGTTCCCCGAGAATCCGTGAGGCATCAGAGTGATCGAAACAAGCCGATATTCACGTTTATTGATCAGCTCCGAGGATCAAATCCGCTTCGGGGGGTTTAAACAGGTGAGTTGCAGCCGCGGAGCTCGTCAGCGGACGTTTGATTGCAGCTGTTTTTGAGGTTTCTGGTTCGTCGCATCCATGCTAGCCGCGTTAGCATGCCGTGCGAGGCCGCTGTGATTGTTGTGACCGGGGCTGCTAGCGGCTAACGGCTAGCTGGTCGTTAGCGGCGCCGCGCAGCCCCGAGTTTGATTCAAACTTTCAGACGGTGGGTTTGTGATATTTGCGCTGCTGCGGTCTGTGCAGGTTCACAACATGTCCGACAGCGACGACAGCGACTTCTCCGACAACCAGAGCGAGCGCAGCAGCGATGGAGAGGCGGAGGAGGTGGAGGAGAACGAGGTGAGCTAACCGCTAGCCAGGTGTGCTACCTGGCCGTAAACAGAGAGTCAGAGGCGGATTAAAGTGACTAAAGTAGAGCCAAGCTGCGCATTGACACCTCATATAAACACCTTGACACGGACACAGAGAATATAGATGAACTAATATGTTTTTATTGGTCTTTCCGGGGCGGTGGGTGCCATGTTTGGCTCTTTTAAGGGCTTCACAATGTTGATATTTAGAATAGTTGTACTTAAATGGTGTCTGGACAGAAAGCAGTTTGTGTCTGTTAATTAGAATTTGTGAAAATTGCAAACACAAGCCTCAGACCTGCATCCTTCACTGTAAGGATACCTTTTAAACACACAACATTGTCTCTGCTGTAAAGTTGGTCTTTATGCTGATGATGCAGTCTTCCTCTACGTTCTGCTTCAGCGCTGCTTTGCTGAAAGTTGAACTCAATAAACCACAGATTAGTTCTAAACGTCAGTCACTTTCTGGGCATTCTGGCTCCAGTCTCATTTTTCCTCACTGTGGTTGACATGAAGTCCAGCAGCTCTGTAGAAACAGAACCACATGAAGAAGGAGAGAGAACTCAGAGACGTCTTCTGTGCAGTAGTGGACAGTTAAGTTGATAAAAAAAATGAACTAATAATAATAATAATAATAATATCTTTATTTATAGAGCACTTTTCATACAGAAATGTAGCACAAAGTGCTTTCCAATTTAAAAAACAAACAAAAACACGCACATATAAACCCACGTACACTAAAACTAAAACTAAAACTGGTCCACAGATGTTACCAACACTGGAGCAAATGTTGTCTCCGCACACTGTAGATGTTGAACTATCTCCATGTTTCCAGCCTCGACAGACTTCTTCTTTCTGCTCTGCTCATCAGCTGAATGTACAGACGTGACTCGATGATCCGACACTAAATGTAAAACCTTCTTTCATGTCGGATTGTCAAGAC